TGTCCAGTGGAGGGAGGACCAGGTGGGGCTTCAAGGGCCCAGCTTGCCTGCTGAAGCCTCCGTTGGGAGTACCACAGTGTACATGACCACAGGGCCAAGGACTCCTCTCAGCTGCCTTCTCCTCTTGGGCACTGCAGAGCTTCTGGCTCCATGACCCAGGTGCAGACATGAGGGGTCTAGGGGGTTGTTCACATTTATGCCCTGACTGCCTTGGGACAGGGCTGACTTGACTGGGCAAGAGAAGAGAGAGGATATCCTGAAATGGCAGAAACAACCTCTGAGCAGGGTTCCTTGAGCGACAACCCTAGTGCCCAAACTGTTGGCACTTCTGCCAACCCTAGCTTAACCATGGCATGTGGAGTTGAGATGTCCTTGTGCCCTTGGTGAGTGTTAGGCATTCCCAAGGGAGGCCCCATAGTAACAATCCTGTGAGGCAGGACAGTGAGTGACCTCTGAGGGCAGGAGGGCAGAAAGGGACTGGCAAGCCAGGAGATTCAGGGGAAGAAAGGTGCACCACGGCCAGAGCCAAGGGGAGCAATTTGTGACAGCCCAGGGACATCACCCAGTCCTGGGGTGGGTGTGAGGTCAGGAGAGCACTTTAACTTTGACCTGAAGCTGAGACCAAAACAGAAAAGACCCTGCACCCTGGCTGACCCTGAGAGTTAAGGAGAGCAGGGGAAATGATGGAAAAGTGTCACAAAAGGTGGTTGGACCTGGGAGGAGGTTGAGCAGAGCCTCAGTCCAAAGCTGAGCCAAACCCCTAGGGCCAAAACAAGACTCTGAACTTGAGTTTAACTCTGGTGAACATCAGGCATCCACTGGCAGTCTGTGGTCAGCATCCATTCACGTGCCACAGTGGTCGCTGAAGTGGGAGAGGGAAAGGAAGGGAAGGGAAGCCTATAAATCCAGGAGCTCAGACTTGGAAGGACTCCTCGAGATGCAACAGTAGGAGCTGGAAGAGGGTCAGCCAGGAGCTTCACACTTGGAGCTTGTCCTGGCGCCATCTTCATCTGCCTAACCTGGGCCTCTGTCATTTCTCCTTTGATGTCACCTCGGCTCAGCCATCCTGCTGCCAGTGCTCAGGGGCTCCAGCAGGCAGCTGCTGGACGAACCTCGGGAACAACAGCTAGAGAAATGCCGCCTGCCAGGCCTGACACCTCAGGGTACGTCCGCAGCCAAGCTGAGCAAGAGAGGTGTGGTGGGCAGCATAGGTTTAGAGATGGACAACAGACCACCGTATAGAGATCTGGACACCTGGGTCAGGCCTGCTAATGGAAGAGCTTTGTGAGGCAGAGTCCCCACCCCCTTCACCAGCAACCAGCACAGCTGAGACACCTTCCCTTTTAGTCAGCTACCAGCCACCAGTATTTCCAGTCATATTTGAACTTAAAGTTCCCCATGTCCTATGCAGTTCTGGCTGTTCACGTTGGCCCCCATCCATGTGTCCTCAGCTCCCCCATCACTTGGAACCAGGCCACCTCAGCCCTCCCTGCAGGTGTCCCAAGGAAGGGAACAGCCCTTGGAGAGCTCTCCAGCACCGGTTTGTTTTCTGCCTTGTATGGGGGTCTAACAGTGGGTGAGGAAAGGGTGCATTGGGTTGCATTTGTGGCCCTTCCTGGACACACAGGCTCAGAGCTCTGAGCCTCCTGCTCATTTCTCTGCTTTTGATTTTTCAGAGCCTGCTGCTGGTGTCCCAAGATCCCAGGAACCCACAGGGCTTCCTGCACCTGTCCAGGTAGGCAGGTGGACAGGCAGGGATAGATCTTAGGCCTGGGGAGTGATCCTCTGGTGCTCAGAGGCAGCATCCACACTTTGGCCTGACAAGCTGCCAGGAAGAAAGTGTCAGACATACAAAACATGATGCCAGCCTGTCCACCCTGGAATTCCCTCTAGCATGTCCCTGAACTTTTAGCCTTGCTACTCCCAGGCACAGTCAGATGTTAATTTGCCAGGCTCAGTAGGGAATTAGAAGTCACAGCCAGATAGGAGAGCTGCAGGGGTCCTGTTGTTTGGTCTAGAAACCCTCCTTCATCCCTACCGTCCTCCCACCACCTCCCTATCTCTGTTTCCTGGGTGTGGCAGTCCCCTCTTATACCTGGGCCTGGGAGGTATGGCCCCCAGGAGCATGTCTCAGGGAGATGGTGGGTAGGGGCAGCTGGCAGGATCCAGATTAGTGTCAGCATGTACCCTTCAGTCCTGACACACAACACCAGGGACAGAAGCTTTTGTTTAGTTGAGATTGCTGGGATGTGGCTGTTTGTCGTAGAAGCTGGAGATCACACTTGGGAGGACATAGTTCTTAGGCAAGGGGGAACCCCATTTTCCTGACTAGACCTAAAGGGGGAAGTGTGATACTTTCTGCTCAGCTGCAGTGACTGTGACTCTCCAAGGTCTCATTCTTGGCCATGTACTGTGATGGCCTTGTCCCCTATCTGTAGCCAAGGATCAGGTGCAGGGCCCAGGGCCCAGTGAGCAAAAGGGCCAGGAGGTGGCTGAGCTTAGCTGGCTCCCTGTCCCATTCCTCACTTGGAGTACCTCATCTTCTCCTGTAGTCCCTGCTCCCAGAATCCCTGCTGCCAGGCACAGGATACCAGATGCCGCTCCTGGCCGCACAGACACAGCTTCAGAGCAGCACTGCCCAGCTCCAGGCTGAGCTGCTGCAAAGCCAGGTGCAGCTGGCTGAGCTGGCGGCCCAGGTGAGAAGCAAAGGGGCATCTGGTGGGTGGGACAGGGTTGCAGCAGGAGGGCATCATTGGGAGTGGCTGGAGGCTTCCCCCAGAAGCAGGAGGAACCATGAGCACAAAGGAGCACGAAGCAGAGACCTTGTGCTGGGACTTGCTGGAATGTCCTTCTACCCTGGGCCTCCTGCCATCTTCCAGGTGCGGAAACTGGAGCTAGAGCGGGCCCAGCACAAGCTGCTGCTGGAGAGTTTGCAGCAGAGGCAGCAGGCGGACTTAGAGCTCATTGAGAGCGCACACAGGTACCCAGCTCTTGCCTATGGCTTGTCTGGGCTTCCTAGAGCTCACATCTTGCCCCAGGTCTGCCTCAGATCTCCACACTGACCCCAGAGGCCTTTTAGGTGGTAGCTGTCTGGCTCTGAGCCCCACCGCTGGATGTTCTGTTGGCAGAAGCCGCATCAAGGTGCTAGAAACATCTTACCAGCAACGGGAGGAGCGGCTCCGGAGAGAGAATGAGGAACTGTCAGCTCGGTATCTGTCACACTGCCAGGAGGCTGAGGAGGCCCGCGCTGAACTCACAGCCCAGCACCAGCGGCGGCTGGCAGCTGCTGAGCAGGAGAGGGACCAGGAGATGGAGCGGCTGCGGGAGCTACAGCGGTGAGGCCCTGAGACCAGGGAGCACGCCCACCACGATTGGCCAGAAGGGAGTAATCCCTGGAGCCCTAAGCTAAAACTCAGCAGCTTTGGACTGGGAGTCTGAGCCCTTCCTTCCCAGCCCACTGAGGTGAGGGCCGAGTGCTGAGTGCACTAACATGGCGCCACCATGGGTGTGGTGTCACCTGTCCTTATAAAAGCACAGGGGTACCCACAAGGCCTGGGCATCACTGGCTAGGCAGGTGTGGCAGCAGTAAGCACCTGAGGGGCTAATGAAGCACCAGTTAGTCGACATACCTGCTCACCCAGTTAGAGGCTAGGGACTAGAGGCCCAGGGAAAGGTCTGCTCCTGGGTGTCCCATGTTGATAACGGTTGTCTCTCTAGATGAGGATGATACCTCAGGTAGTTAAAGGTCAGCAAAGGCAGAGCAGGTCTTCTGAGACAGCTCAGATGAGCCAGACACAGGGTCATGCACTTCTGTGTGAAGTGTCCTTTGAGGTATAACAGGGAGTCTCCACCTTGGAGAGTGCACGTAGCCCTGAGGCTCCCAGACAGGTACGACAGAGGAGCTGGGGGCACTGGGGCAGTGCCTTCAGGAGGAGAGGCCTAGTCAGCAGGGCAGCTCAGAGGCACACCCTACAAGGGACAGAAGCTTCCTCGGCGTTCACCGTAACGCTCGAGCTGTCCTGTTAAGAGTGGCCTGGGCCTTCCCACCCGGCCCCTCAGGGCGTCCATCCAGGAGATGCGCAAGGACCACGAGGAGCAGCTGCAGCGGCTGAAGCTGCTGAAGGACCGAGAGATCGATGCGGTCACCAGTGCTACCTCCCACACACGGTACATGCACCACTGGGCCCTGTGCACCTGAGGGGGGTGGGGGTGCCCAGGATGGGCTGACCTGATCTTCTTCCAGGTCCCTTAACGGCATCATTGAGCAGATGGAGAGGTTCTCTAGCAACCTGAGTGAGCTGTCCTCTCGTGTGGAAGCCTCACACCTCGCCACCTCCCAGGAGTGGGAGCTGGGGACACGGCACCGAGACGAGCAGCTGCGAGGTACCCCCATCCCAGGCTCTCGGGCCCCCTTGGTGGGAAGATGGGTGGGCTGTGAACCACTGTGGGCTGCCCCCAGCACTGCAGGAGCGGCTGGGCCGGCAGCAACGGGACATGGAGGAGGAGCGGAGCCAGCTGCAGGAAGTCATCAGGAAGATGGAGACGCGGCTGAGCGAGCAGAGCCGGCTTCTGGAGCAGGTGAGGCCCGTGGTCCTGCCTCAGGCTCTCTCCCCGGGACACCTGCAGGCTTGGCAGGGACTTTCCCTGACCTCACCTCCTCAAAGCCAGCCAGTTCCTGAGGCTCACCTCTCCTCTGAATGTCCCTCCTACCCTTCTTGCTTCTGCATTTTCTCAGCCCCAGCCCGGGCCTCAGCACTGCTACTCTGAGCACGCAGGGGCCACCTGGCTGGGCCCCCCACCCGCACACTCCCTGCTCTCTACCAACACAGGCCTCTTGGCCACCCTCTGCAGTCTACCCACCCCCGTCTGTCATACATCCCACTTTTCCTCTGGCTACACATCTGTCACATCAGCTGATGCCTGTGACATCAGGTGGGACAGATACTCTTGCGGATTAAATGTCATTCCCTCCATTTCAGCTGGGACTCGTAATTGAACTCCTTACATGTCTTCCGCATATAAGATCAAGCTTTATTTAGAAAAAGTTGCCTACTAGCCAGAGATGTCCACTGATGACATAATCTGTGTCTGGTAGGCAGACCACCATAGATATAAGATGCTTGTGGGCTGTGAACCATATTTACTCATTCCATCACTCGGTAACTGTGTTGAGCACCTGCCTTAGGCCAGGCATAGTTGAGCTCTCACCTCGTCCTGATGAGTCAGGAGGCAAGGATGTTACTGTTCTTTGGCCCTGTTGAGCCATTACCCCTGTACAGTTGGCTGAGTTGACATCCCTCATAGTGGCTGGGCCCTACCATTCTTCCCAGGTACCCCTCTTCTTGCACCTCTTTGAGAAGGAGGTTTCTGTGGCATAGCATGGGAGATGTGGGTGGGTTTGCACAGCGACTGAGGAAGCAGCCAGGCCTGCTCCTTGGGTATGGGGCACACACCCTCAGCCCTGGCCTGGGTTCTGCAGGAACGATGGCGAGTGAACGCTGAGCAGTCCAAGGTGGAGTCCATGCAGCACTCTCTTGAGGAGCAAAGGAAGGTCATGGCCCAGCAGACAGCCATGGAGAGGGCAGAGCTAGAGCGGGCCAAGGTGAGTTCAGCCACCGCACTCAGCTGCTGATGCAGCCATTGTGCCCAGGGACACTCACCCTGTGTGCTCACCCTCCATGTCCCAGAGTGCCCTGCTGGAGGAGCAAAAGTCCGTCATGCACAAGTGTGGGGAGGAACGCCGGCGCCTGGCCACCGAGTGGGCTGAGTTCTTCACACAACAGCAGCTAAGTAAGGAGCGGGCTGAGCGCCAGGTGGAGCGGGCACTGCAGGTGGACACCCAGCGGGAGAGTACCCTCGTCAGCCTGGCCAAGGTAAGATCCGAGCCTCATCTGGATGCCTTCTGAGAGAAGAAAGTGGCGCACACACCATAGCATAGAGGGAGTAACACAGGACAATGCAGGCACACAAATACCTTCCTTGTATTTCCCTAAGTACTTTATACACATCTCATTCGTCCTCATCATAGTCCTATGACTGAAATCATTTAAAATGAGACTGAGGTTCAGAGAAGCTGTGTCTGCCACAGTTATGTGGCTTGTGTGAGCAGCTCCTTGGCTTGGCCACGGGCCTCTCTGGTCCCTCCCCCCAATCTCCCCAGGAGTCCCTTGCTCCACCTCTGTTTCCCAGGAGCAGGGTGGACAAAGGGTGCCTCAGAATCCTGTGCAAAGCACAGCTTGGCTCCTGAAAGACAATGCAGCGGGGTCCTGTTATCTGCAGGAACAGGCTGAGCTAAAGATCAAGGCCAACGAGCTCCGGGTCAAGGAGGAACAGCTGGCGGCTGAGAGGGAGGCCCTGGAACGGGAGCGGCAGGAGCTGCGGTTGGAGAAGGAGAGGGTCAGTGCCACTGCCCTGCGCATCCGGCTCCGTTCCGAGGAGGTGGAAAGCATGAGCAAGGTGTGGCATGGGCATGTGGGCATATGGCATGGCTCCTGCCACCCTGGTCAGCCCTGACCCAGGCGCCCTTCCGCAGGTGGCCTCGGAGAAATATGAGGAGGGGGAGCGGGCACTGTGCCAGGCCCGGCAGGTGCAGGCTGAGCAGCAGGCCCGACTGCAGGTGGTGCAACAGCAGCAGGAACGGCTGCGGCAGCAGGAACAGAATATGCACCAGGCAAGGTTCCTCCCACCTCCACCTCCCCAGCCCAGCTGCTCCAGACCCCCCAGCCTGTCACCCTCACAGCTGTGTCCTTCTCTCTGGGGGCGTGGACACAGGAGCACCTGAGTCTAGCCCAACAGAGGCAGCAGTTAGACCGAATGCGACGGGACCTGCCCGCCAGCCTCTCAGGACTGCTCCCCAACACCCAGGGCCTGGCAGCTTCCAGCCTGAGTGGTAAGTTACCCCAGAGGGAAGGGACAGAGCCTCAGCTGGCTTAGTTGGCAGCACCCAGGACATCATTCAGCCACTCAAGTTAGGGATCAGCTGAGTATTAAAGTCATCTTGTTATTTTTTTTTTACATAAGCAATACATGCTTAATTATAGAGAAATAAATCAGAAATGGGGTGGGGGAATGGACTTTTTAAAACATTGCCCAGGAGTAGTGGCTCACTCCTGTAAATCCTGCACTTTGGGAGGCCAGCCAAGTTTAGAGGATTGCTTGAGGCCAAGAATTCAACCAGCCTGGGCAACGTAGTAAGATACCCTCTCTATAAAAATTAGAAAAATTAGCTAGGCATAGTGATGTACACCTATAGGCCCAGCTACACTGTAGGACCACCTGAGCCCAGACATTTGAAGTTTCAGTGAGCTGTGAGGGCACCACTGCACTCCAGCCTGGGCCACAGAGTAAGACCATTTCTTTTTTTTTTTTTTTTTGAGACAGAGTCTCACTCAGTTGCCCTTGGTAGAGTGCCAGGACATCACAGCTCCACAGCAACCTCTAACTCTTGGGCTTAAGCAATTCTATTGCCTCAGCCTCCTGAGTAGCTGAGACTACAGATACCCACCACAACACCCAACTATTTGGGTTGCAGTTGCCACTGCTGTTTTAACTGGCTGGGGCCAGGTTCGAACCCACCACCCTCAGTATATGGGACTGGCACCCTACCCACTGAGCCACAGGCACTGCCCAAGACACCATTTCTTTTTTCTTTTTTTTTTCTTAGAGACAGAGTATCACTTTGTCGCCCTCGGTAGAGTGCTGTGGCATCATAGCTTACAGCAACCTCCAGCTCCTGGGCTTAGGTGATTCTCCTGCCTAAGCCTCCAGAGTAGCTGGGACCAGAGTTGCCCGCCACAATGCCTGGCCATATTTTTGCTGCAGTTTGGCCAGGGCCGAGTTTGAACTGGCCACCCTCAGTATATGGGGCCGGCGCCCCACTCACTGAGCTACAGGCACCACCCAAGATACCACTTCTTAAAAAACAAAACAAAACAAAAAAATTTCCTTGGCTTAGCACCTATAACTCAGAGGCTAGGGCTCCAGCCACATACACCAAAGCTGGTGGGTTCAAATCCAGCCCGGGCCTACCAAACAACAATGATAACTACAACCAAAAAATAGCCAGGTGTTGTGGCGGGTGCCTATAGTTCCAGCTACTTGGGAGGCTGAGGTAAGAAAATCGCTTTAAGCCCAAGAGTTTGAGGTTGCTATGAGCTGTGACACCACAGCACTCTACCGAGGGCAACAAAATGAGACTGTCTCAAAAAAAAAAAAAAA